GAAAGGCCGTAGGATTTCGGACAAAAAACGAGCCAGTTTGTAAGTGGGGGAGTTGATAGTCGAGACAATGGGACGAAGAGGTGTATCTTCTTTATGTATCTTTGGCAAGCCGTACAATCTTGGTGGCCTGGCTGCAGAAGGTTTCAACGAGAACTGTTTGGTCTGATCAATTAATGCGGTTGAAGCAGAAATGATGTTGTTGGTTTTGGAGACGAGGCTGTTGGTAGGGTCTCTTTTTATTTTTGTATAGCTGCCATCGTTGAGTAGTTCTTGAATTTTGTTGTTGTATTCTATTTTGTCCATGATGACAGTGGCATTGCCTTTGTCGGCTGAGAGGATGACAATGTCATCCCTCTTTTTTAATTGAGCTAATTCAAAACGCTCATCTTTGCTGATGTTGCTAGCTGGCATCTTAGCGTTTTTGAGGGTTACAGAGATTTCAGATCTTGCTACGTCTGCAGCGATGTGACTCAAGCCCTTGAGAGCTACATCTACTCGAGCAATTATATCATTAACTGGTATGTGTCTAGGTGTGACTGCAAAGTTTAGTCCTTTAGCTAAAACGGATTTCAAACCTTCAGAAATAGGACTGTTACTGCGATTAATTACGACTTTGTTAACATCTAGCTTTTCAATGTGTGGGTCCGGTTTCTTGTTTGAGAGGCGGTTGAATTTGGAAATCAAGTTGTCCTTACATTTAGTCGACATAGCGGCAGCTGAAGAGGCAGTCATTTTTTCCACATGTTCCCAATCCGATGTGGACATTGTTACACTCAAAGATAAGTGTGATTTGTAGAGTGTCTTGTCTAACTGATCTAGTTCGGTGCGCGTAAGTCTGATTTTCTCTGAGATAAGAGCTAAACTAGTTCTAGACAGAATTCGTTTCGCATTAGAAGAAGTTACAGCAGCAGATGTTAGTGTAAATGCGTTTGGTATTACCTTAGAGTCGCGGCATCTCTTCAGAAAGGTGAGAGACTCGATTAGCTGAGCCTTCTTATCCCGGAGCTTGTTGAAGGATCTCAAAGTTATGTGGAAACCCTCCCCGTAGAGGCGGTTATGTAGCTCTCAAGGGCTTGAGTCACATCGCTGCAGACGTAGCAAGATCTGAAATCTCTGTAACCCTCAAAAACGCTAAGATGCCAGCTAGCAACATCAGCAAAGATGAGCGTTTTGAATTAGCTCAATTAAAAAAGAGGGATGACATTGTCATCCTCTCAGCCGACAAAGGCAATGCCACTGTCATCATGGACAAAATAGAATACAACAACAAAATTCAAGAACTACTCAACGATGGCAGCTATACAAAAATAAAAAGAGACCCCACCAACAGCCTCGTCTCCAAAACCAACAACATCATTTCTGCTTCAACCGCATTAATTGATCAGACCAAACAGTTCTCGTTGAAACCTTCTGCAGCCAGGCCACCAAGATTGTACGGCTTGCCAAAGATACATAAAGAAGATACACCTCTTCGTCCCATTGTCTCGACTATCAACTCCCCCACTTACAAACTGGCTCGTTTTTTGTCCGAAATCCTACGGCCTTTCACTGGAAAAACCACCTCTGCAGTACTAAACTCTACTGACCTGGTATCGACAATCAAGGGGATTGCCCTGTCCCCAGACGACCTGCTTGTCAGTTTTGATGTGGTTTCCTTGTTCACCAAGGTGCCTGTGCCTGACACCATCGCAATCATTGAAGACTTGGTTCATCAAGGACTGAATGCTGGGGTACCCCCCCTGGTGAGACACTGCTTAACCAATACATACTTCACCTGGAATGGAACCTTCTACAAGCAAATTGAGGGCACCCCAATGGGCTCCCCCCTATCTCCGGTTGTAGCCAACATCTTCATGGAGAAATTTGAGACGGACGCCATCCAGACTGCCACTCTACGCCCGACCTTATGGAAGAGGTATGTAGACGACACTTTTGTCATCTGGCCACATGGCCGGCCTGCTCTAGACCAATTTCTCGACCACATCAATTCCATACACCCAGCCATCAGATTCACCATGGAAGTCGAAAATGATGGCAAGCTACCCTTTTTGGATGTCCTAATCAAAAGGAGACCTGATGGTTCAATGAGCCACTCTGTCTACAGGAAAGCCACCCACACGGATGCTTATCTAAAACCGGATTCCCACCACCATCCATCCCAGAAGAATTCCCTCATCAAGACTCTATATCATAGAGCCCAATGCATCTCCGACCATGAACACATTTCCAGTGAACTCAAACACGTACGCCAAGCTCTTAAGGCTAATGGTTACTCCGACTACACAATCCGCAAAGCCATCACTCCAACCATCAAGAATGATCCTGTTGAGGAGCCTTTCAAGACCATCACCTTACCCTACATTGCTGGGGTCACAAAAAAGATCTCCAAAATCCTGATTAAACACAAGATCCAGGTCCGATTCAACACAGTACATAAAATCCGTGATCTGGTCCCGTCTGTAAAAGATGTGGTTCCAGACATACAGTACCCTGGCGTCTACAAACTAAGTTGCCTCTGTGGTAGCAGTTACATTGGAGAAACCAAACGACATGTCTCGGACCGCATCCGTGAACATAAGGCAGACCTGAAACACGGTAGGACAAACACTTCAGCCGTGGCAGATCACTGTTACAATTCAGTGGGCTCACATGACATTGACTTCTCCAAGACAGAGGTTCTCTGCAAGCCATCTGGCTATCATGAGAGATTCGTTCATGAGGCGATCCACATATACAAACACAGAGACAATTTCAACCGAGAAGATGGATTCTGGCTTAGCAATCATTGGAAGGACGTAATAAACCATTTCGGATCTTAACTGATTGTGTTCACGTTAACGGTGACTTTCAGACCGCGTTCCACTCACTGGCATGGTGCAGTGTGCAGAGTAATGTATGGTGTCGTAATTGTACAGTAAACATATAGCAGTATGATACACATTAGGGTGGGTAGAATAATACATAGTGTTATATTAAAATGGATAAGGCAGCAACTGCAGCAGCAGCAGCAAGTGCAGCAGCAGCAGCAAGTGCAGCAGCAGCAGCAACTGCAGCAGCAGCAGCAACTGCAGCAGCAGCAGCAACTGCAGCAGCAGCAGAAACTGCAGCAGCAGCAACTGCTGCAGCAGCGGTGGCTGCGGCAGCAGCAATTGCAGCAGCAGCAGTAACTGCAGCTCCCTTTGATGCTGTTAATCCTGCATAATGCACATGCATATGCAGTACTAATCACATTCCTGCATTTCCCATAAATATGCTAAATTCCTTTTAATATGCAAATTCCTTTGTCAATGCGCCCAGCTTATATATATGCTCCAAGCTCGTGTGCTGTTTCATTCAGACTCTGTCGCCTCGACGGACCTGGTTTTCACCTGAGGACGGCTGCTTGCGTTGTGGCCGAAACGTCGTGAGAATTGTTTTATTATGTTTTATTTTTATTATTTTATTACTTCCCTTCTACGTGACTTTACCGAAAGAACCAAGAAAAAGCTTTGTAGACGTTGATCTTTGTGGCTCTTTTAAGGTTTCTGTTGTTCCAGACACGTTTGTATAGTCTGCCAAATGCACTGTTTGCCTTGGCCAGCCTGTTTTCGACTTCGTTGTCGATCTTGGCGTCAGACTAGATGACGCACCCCAAGTAGCTGAACTGGTGGACAGCTTTCAGTTCTGTTTGTTCAATGAAGATGCTTGGTGGATGGTGCTCCTCATGGGGTGCGGACTGATGAAGAACTTCAGTCTTCCTCAGGCTGACTTCAAGGCCGAAGATCTGAGCTGTTTTCGCGAAACAGGACGTAATTCGCTGCATAGCTGCCTCTGTATGAGCAAGGAGGGCGGCATCGTCAGCAAAAAGCAGCTCCCTGATCAGTTGCTCCATGGTCTTTGTGTGGGCCTGCAAACGCCTCAGGTTGAACACGCTCCCGTCGAGACGAAAACGGATGTATACGCCATCAGCGTCGTCGAGGTCCTCTGTGACCTGCTGGAGCATCATGCTGAACAAAATGGTGAACAGCGTGGGAGCAAGAACACAGCCCTGTTTCACGCCGTTTGCAATAGGGAAGGGCTGCGAGAGATTGTTGCTATGTCTGACTTGTCCAAGCTGGTCTTCATGAAGCTGGACGATCATGGTGAGGAACTTCGGTGGGCAGCCTAGCTTGTCCAGGATTTTCCAAAGTCCCTGCCTGCTCACGGTGTCAAACGCTTTTGTCAGGTCCACAAGGGTGACGTACAGTGCTTTATTTTGCTCCCGGCACTTTTCCTGAATCTGCCTCAGGACAAACACCATGTCTGTGGTTCCCCGGTTGGCTCTAAAGCCACACTGGGTCTCTGGGAGGTGATCTTCAGCTATTGCGGGTACCAGTCTATTCAGCAGTACTCTTGCGAAGATTTTGCCGGCGACGGACAGAAGTGTTATGCCACGATAATTGGAACAGTCTGATTTCTCCCCTTTGTTCTTGTACAGGGTGATGATGACTGCATCTTTGAGATCTTGAGGGAGTTTACCCTGCTCCCAGCAGCAGACGAAGAATTCATGGAGTTTGGTGTGCAGTGCTGGGCCTCCGTTCTTCCATACTTCAGGAGGGATGCCATCAACTCCTGCAGCTTTACCACTCTTCAGCTGTTTAATGGCTTCCTCAGTTTCTTGTAATGTTGGTGCCACATCCAGTTCGGTTTTCACTGGTTGTTGTGGGATGCGGTCAATCGCTGGTTCTTGGACTGAGCGGCTAGCATTGAAGAGCGTGTAGAAGTGCTCAGACCAGCGGTTCAGGATTGAGTCCTTTTCAGTGAGCAGTTTTTTCCCGTCTGCACTCCGCAGGGGGCTCAGGATTTGGTACGAGGGGCCATATACCACTTTTAGGGCTTCGTAGAATCCCCTGTAGTCGCCAGTATCAGCGCAAAACTGAGTAAAGTCACGTATAAAGAAAAAATAATAAATTAAATAATAACATACGACGTTTCGATTGCAACACAAGCAATCATCATCAGGTATAATGAAATAGCGACATAAAATCTAACCAGAAAAAATTATAGACAGACATATAAGCAGACAGATATCACCAAGATACACACAGCGGGCAACACAGGTACAGAGAGGGGTGATCGTCTCTGTGGGGTGGCCTTAAATAGACAGAGTTGTTTTGGCTGGATAGAGAGGGAAAAATGGGCAAGGAATGGTCTAGAGAGGAGACAGATTGATGTGGTACAAGAGGATGTGGAGTTAAATGGACTTGCCGATGACTGGTACCAGCGGTGTCAAGATCGCCTCTGTGGAGAAGGCTCGTTAAGGATGCTACTGGGCAGTTGGAGGCAGTCGCCCTCCAGCAACAACGGAGGACAGAGGAGCAATACTCACAACAATCGGAGTGCCGAGTCGCTAAAACACAGCAAGTTGGCACAGGAGGGGGCACAGGTGGTGCATCAGCCAGTCATCTGAGTCAGTCAACCCATGTCACTTGGGTCTGTCCGGTGACTTCCTGCCAGCAGGCATTCGACACTGCAAGTGGCCTTAAAGTGCACATAACCTGGCACAAGCGCTGTGGTGATGTCACCACCACTTTGTGGCGAATGGCGGTTATTGTTGGTGTGTGTGGGAAGTGGTGGCGCAGCAGTCAGCATACTGTGCTATGAACCCTTCCACCCAAGTTCGATTCCTGCTCACAGCCAATAGCAATGACGATTATCTTAACCGGTCCTGGGCCTTCTCTAGGTCGACTCAGCCTCAAATAAGTACCTGATGTGTATAAGCATCGCTACTGGGGAGACAAAAGCGGTCGGGCATGGTGCTAGCCACCCACCCCCTCATGTACCATGCCAGCCTTTATTAGGTGCTTGCTAACAGCACTTATCCTACAGAGTGTTAAGTCTATACTGGGGATATTTGTCTTCGTGTGCGAGCGCAGTGTGTGTGTGAAGCGCATCACCAGGAAAGATGTACGCGTTGTTGCCCTGGCCAGGCCTGAAGATGCGACCGTCCGGCAGAGTGACCGGGTCGAAGGGGCTTCCGCTAGCAAACAGGCACCGCCCCTACAATGACATGGGATCATCAGACTCAACAGCACTGCACAGCCACTCCTCTTGGAAGTACGGACGTCCATTGGTGATTGCATGTATATGACAGTCTAATTGTGTGCGTGACCGTATATTGATGAGTGCCTATGTACACAAGCCTGTGAGTGTGTGCACATGTGCGTGCGGTGTATGTGAGGGCAGTGTGTGTGAGCACGGTGTGTGTGAGCATTCGTCTGTGAGCGTGTGAGCATTCGTCTGTGAGCGTGTGTGCGTACATCTGCGAGTGTGTGCGCATGGTGTGTGCGAGCACGGTAAGTGTACGTACGTCTGTGAGTGTTTGCGTGTGTGTGTGTGTGGACGTCTGTGAACATGTGTGCATACATCTGTGAGTATTTGAGCATGTATGCATATATCTGTAAGCATGTGTGTCTGTATGTGTGTGTCTGGCAAAACAACCCCTTCCTCCTCGTGGTGCCGGACGGGCAACGCTGTCGTGGGCAGTGCTGTGGGGGGAGGGCCAATTCCAATTGGCCTTTCCCCTCATGGCGTTTGTGGCCACCACAGCAGCCAAAATGGGGCTCTGGATGGGTGCGAGGGGCTTCAATTAATTATCGCTAAACCACGACGGAAAATTTAAATTAATAAGCTTGTGCCGGAGGCCCCGGGGGGACAGACGTCTATGACGTCACCTGGCCAAACCCCATTTGGCGGAGCCAGGAGACTGAATCCTTACCCTCGGGGCTCCTCCAGAAACAACAAAAAACCACGACGTGTGGCCACGTGGAATGGTCGAAAGCTCACTGCAGAGGAGAGGCTGCCACTTCTCTGTCAGGAGCTGGACCGGTACCGCCTGGATCTCTATGGTATTCAGGAGGTCCGGTGAACTGGCTCTGGTTCCTGCCACCATGAGGGGTGGACAGTCCACTTCTCGGGGCAGGAGACTGCCAAACAACAGGGAGTGGCTCTTCTTCTGAACAAAATAATTAAGGGGGCGTGGGAGCGTGGTGGTGAGGTGTGGGAAGCTGTAAGCCCCAGGCTACTTTGGGCTCGCCTTCCTATGAACCAGAGGCGAGGAGTGGTGGTCGTGGTTACTTATGCCCCCACTGAAGACGAACATCCATGGAGGGATGCAGGCAAAGCCGATGACTCAGATGCCTTCTATGACCTCCTGTCACAGGTGCTAGCTAAAGTGGCCCCTCAGGATAGTAATTTTGTTGAGTGACTTCGATGCCCGAGTTGGTCATGCTGCTGGCACCTGGTCTGGAGTGATTGGAAGGCATGGGCCAGATCAATTTAATAATAAAGACAGGAGGCTGCTATATTTTTGTGCAGCCCATGGGTTTGTAATTACCAACATGCTGTTCCGGCATCGGTGCATCCACACAACATCATGGATGCATGCCGGGTCCAAGCAAGAACATCTGCTGGACTACATAGTGACGGAACAGCGGATGCGGGCCCATGTCCTTGACACCAGTGGAGCTGATCTGCCCACTGGCCATCGACTTGTCATCTGGAAGATGCGCTGCCATTATTCTACTCCAGTGGTGGGTGTACACCCAGGACCCCATTCAAACCCTTAGTGGCATGGTCTCAGCTAGCGGATGAAAGTTGCAAGTGAGAATTTAATCATCGCTTGCGGCTGGAGTTGGCATCGTCCCCCACTCCTCCTGATGTAGAGGGGAAATGGGCGAGGGTTAGGACTGTGGCTCATGCAGCTGCAATGGCTGCTTTGGGTACACGGTCCAGACCTCACCAGAGACCCTGGCTGACAGAGGAGGTGTTCAAGCTGGTTGAGAAAAAGCGACAGGCCCACTCTCATCGGCTACAGCATCCCACGTCGGAGAATGAGGAGGCTTACCGCAGCCTTCGCTCGGAGGTTCGGAGAGCCGTGAGGTGCTGCAAGGATGGGTGGTGGTCACAGGTTGCTGAGGAGATGGAGTCTGCCTCAATGGCCTGCGATCACAAATCGCTCTTTAATTCCATCAAAAAAGTAACCTGCAGCGCCACACCTATTACCATCATTAGGGGAAGGAACGGTGATCCAATCTCTGACCTCCAGGAACAGGTTTTCAGATTTGCTGCGCATTTGTGTGAGGTCCTGGGGGAGGGGACATCCCTCAGCCAGGAAAATAACTTGGGATAAAGTGGTGATGACCTAGCCGAGGCTGCGGTGCCTCAAATATTGGAAGAAGTCACCCTCTGCGAGTGGCTGGCTGAGGTGCCATCTGTTGAGGAAGTACTGAAGGCGATCCAGAGTCTGAGACCAGGAAAGGCACCGGGCAGAGATGATCTCCCAAGTGAAATGCTGAGGGAGGGTAGCGTTTGTGCACAAACTGCCCTACATGACATCATAACAACAGTCTGGACCACTGGACGGGTTCCGCTGGACTGGAAGGATGCCCTGGTAGTCCCCCTCTTTAAGAAGGGGGACCGCACAGACTGGAACAACTACAGGGGCATCTCACTCTTCAGTGTGCCAGGAAAGCTCCTGGCAAGGATTATTCAGCATCGACTTGCTAGGCACACTGAGGAGAGGCTTGCGGAGCCCCAATGCGGTTTCAAGAAAGGACGGTCCTGCACAGATGCCATATTTTCTGTCCGTCTGCTACAGCAGAGGTGTAGGGAATTCCAACAAGACCTACATCTCCGCTTTATTGGAGATGTAGGTCAGTAGGCCTGGGCTCTGGGTTGTTCTTCGTGCTTTTGGAGTCCCTGACCATCTGCTCACGATCATTAAGGACCTTCATATGATGGTGAGAGGGCCTGGGTAAAACTACGCGGCCGAGAGTAGGAGCCATTCCCTGTACACCTTGGGATGCGATAGGGATGTCCTCTGGCTCCCACATTATGTAACATCTATTTCGACCACGTAGTTCGTGAATGAAGCCTTCAATAGCTGTACCGGAGGAATTTCCATCTGGTACAAATACAATGGGAGGCTGATCGATGCCCGGGTGAAGTCAAGAGATGGTTCCCTATTGCTCAACCATGTTATGTATGCCGATGATCTGGTAATTGCTGCTCACTCAGAGGAAGAGTTGTAGGCGCTGCTGCTGAACCTGGAGCTTGCCACTAAGAGGTGGGGCCTTACCATCAGCCCCACCAAAACTAAGCACCTGCCTGGGTATTTTGTACCATCGGGCACTCCACCCCCACAACTCCCAATTGGTGATAGGGCAGTTATGTAGAGAGTGGAGAGTTTCCCATACCTGGGCAGTGTGCTCATGACCGGCTCCGGTTTAACAGCAGAGGTCTCACTCCGAATCAGTCGAACGGCATTATCTTTTCATCGGTTGCGTAACGCTGTTTGGAAGCTACCTGGTCTGTCACTCCGCACGAAGCTTCAGGTCTTCTCGGCCACAGTCATTCCCTCCCTTCTCTACGCTTGCGAAATGTGGACCCCCCGAATGGAACATCTTTGCCGGTTAGAAACATTTAGGCTGGCCTGCCTAAGATTCATCCTGAGTTTAACCAGGCTGAATTAGCTCACAAATCCTTTAAAGATGTGAACAAAGTCCCATCGGTGAGCTCCTCCGGCAGGCAAGGCTGCGTTGGCTGGGTCATGTAGCCCGTATGCCCAGCCACCAGGATGTGGAGCTGTTTGCCGATGACTGGTACCAGCGGTGTCAAGATCGGTCTCCCACCCACCCCCTCGTGCCATGCCGGCCTTCATAGGTGCTCGCTAACAGCACTTCATACCAGCAGTCTGTTAAGGCTACTGGGGGGATATTTATCTTTTGTACGTCTGTGAGTGGTATGCATGTGTGCGTATGTCTAGGAGCATGTGTGTGCATATGTTTGTGAGCACATGTGCATTGTGGCTGTGAGGAAACGCCATGAGGACCGATTCCAATTGGTGCTTCCCCTCACGGTGCTCGTAGCTATCGCAGCGGCAAACGGGGAGGGCTCTGGACAGTGCAAGGGGCTTGTGGCGCCTTCACATTCAACTAAATAACCACTAAAACATGTGACAAATATCAATCTAAGCTTGTGCTGGAGGCCCCGGGAGGACAGGCATTTATCACATCTCCTGGTCAAATCCCATTTGAACGAGCCAGGATACCGTACCCGTACCCTCGGAGTATGAGCTAGTGATTGCTGTCCACTCTGAAAAAGGAGCTGGAGATGTGACTGCTGAACCAGGATCATGCTGCTAAGAGATGGGAGATTGGAGAAGTTTCCATATCTGGGCAGTATGCTTATAACTAGCTCCGGTTTGGCAGATGAGTTCTCGCTCTGAATCATTTTAGCAGCATTATCTTTTCATTAGCTGCGTAATGCTGTGTGGAAGCTACCTCGCCTGTCGCAACATATTAAGCTCTGGATGTTCTCAACCACACTCCCTTTCTATGCTTGTGAAACATGGAGCCATTTAAAGGAATTTCTGCACTGGTTTGAAATATTTAGTCTGGCCTGCCTACAATAATTCCTGGGTTTAACGAGACTGAATTGTTTGAGCTCACAGATCCTTGAAAGATCTGGACACAGTCCCATGAGTGAGCTCCTCCGTCAAGCGAGGCGATGTTGTCTGGGTCATATAGCCCGCATGACCAGCTACCGCATGCCAAAGCAGCTTCTGTTTGGCCGGATAGATCAGGTTAAATTGGTGTAGCACGGGCTATAGAAAAGATGGACTGATGTGGTACGGAAGGATGTGGAGCTGATTAGACTTGCCAATGACTGGTACCAGCGGTGTCAAGATCGGTCTCTGTGGACAAGGTTAGTGAAGAATGCTACTGGATAGTTGGAGGCAGTCGCCTTTCAGCAACAACGGAGGGCAGAGGAGTGGCGCTCATAACAACGACCAGAGCACCGAGCAGCTAAAACGCAAAAAGTTAGCACAGTGGGGAGCCCAGCTGGTGTACAATCACTCCCCGCTCATCGTCGGGTTTGTGTTCCTGGAAAATTTTAGTTTAAGTGAAATAACATGAAGTGAATCTTGACTTTTTGGGTCTTTCAGTAAAGCCATGTAGATAGAAAAAACAATACAATATCACGACGTTTCGATCGCA